GCACATCTGGAAAACCATCTGACAGCATGGGCCATGAGACAAGTGCAATGATGGTTAGGAGTCAGTGGAACGGGACATTTCGCACATCTGGAAAACTACGTGACAGCATGGGCCAATACTTACAAAAGGCAACCACTTTGCCTCATTTGAGGAATTAATTCTAAATAAACAAAAATCACAAAAATATGTCCGTAAGACTGATTGATGCAAGGAGTGCTGTTGATCACAGTCAAAGCGCTGAAGAGCCAAGTGGTCATTATGGAGTCACGCAAACTGGGACAGAGGACCGTACAGTCAGTTACAGGAGGACTCGGTACTAGGGGGTGACAAACTACAGTTCTGGTCACACACGCCCCACCGAGACAGCTTGGCTAATCTCCTTTAGCTTTCCCTTCCCCTAAAATTTCTATGATTTCACTTCTCTAAGGATCTGCTGTCCCTTCATTCCCTTTCTCTGTGTTTACATCCCTTTTACTGTCGTTTTGTGAATTTAGGCAGGAAGAAGAAATAAACACAAGTGTTTAAATTTTCGTATTTAACCAAAAGTCTTGATTGATTTTTCTTAAGCAAGCATGCTTAGGAAAATGAAAAACCTTTAAGGTGTGGGAACCACTCTTGATACAAACTATGTCGACTAAATAAGTGCCTGTCACCTTTTTATACAGACCGATTTTAATTCACTAGTAAATGCCACTGTAGGCTCCTCTCCAGAACTATCGGAACACAGTAAGAGCATTTGTGAAGGGGTTCTGACATTTCCAATGCATCAGAGACAAAACTAGACGGAAGTTAATACAAAATGTTAAATTAGGACACTGACTGTGAAGCCACTGGCCACACTTAACATTTCACCAGAGGAAATCCAGTCACTAAACACTCCTGACTCTTAACTATCAATCCCAAGTAATGACACCTTGGGGCTTTGAGTAACTTCAAGATTTATGAGAGTTCAAGTAGATATGAAACTCAAGCACAGTCCATAAAAACCAGAAAACAAAACCACAACTGCAATTCTAAAGCACTTCAAGAACTAGAACTGGTCTGAGAAGTGTGGCGTTCACACGCCTGTCCCCAAGGCACCTTCCACTCCCCTCACTGCTGCGTCTGAGTCTCACCAAGCAGTGAGGAAGGAAAGAAGATCTTACCTGACAACCCGCGGTAATTCAGTTCTGCAGGGGACGGTTTTACAAAAGACAGTGTGACGACAATTATATATTTTTTTAAAATACAGGTGCTCATCTGTATTAATAATTTTTAAATTTTATGTAGCAACATATTTTGTTCAATTTAATCTTATGCAAAACTAGGCAATATAGTTTTGCATAAATAGGCAAAACTAGGTAAAACAGAGAACCAGCATTTGATCAGTATAAATCTTAGAAGATGAAAACTACACTTTCATTATACTTATTATAATATTTATTATGCAAATATATACACTATTTCTATTGCATGAAGCCAACGAGAACATTAAAGCTGAAATGCTGAACCAAAGTATTCAAAGTAGATTTTTATGTGTATTTTATTTGGCTTCACATCCAAATGTCTTCTGGGTATTTTAGCTACTCAGAATCCCTACAATCGTGTAGGAACTGGCAATGATAACATCTAAAAAGCTTGAGGTAGACTGTCCTGAGAGTTTTCAATCACATTAAACATAAAACAGACAGCGGGGGAGGTTTTCAGATTTCCCCTTTTTCTTTGCTATGTGTGTGTCCTCACCTGTAGTGCGCATGTGTGGAGGTCAGAGGTCAACTTTAGGTACCTTTGTCTACTGCTCTCAGGGACCTTCATTTTCTCAGACAGGGTCTCAATGAAGTGACTGGCTGGTCAGCAAGCTTTCAGGACCCCTATGTCAGGTCCCCTCCCACTTTCTGTGCTGGGGTCACAAGAGAGCTCTTATGTGAGTCTCAGGATCCAAATTCAGGTCCTTCTGTTCACACAGCAAGCACTATGCCCACTGAGCTTTCCTCCAGTCTGCAAGAGTTCAATCACTAACTGTACCTAATAATAACTCGTATCCTTTCCACACACATCAGGTGTCTAGGAAGCTTCTAGAACGTCCTCAAATGCCAATCTTCCTATGAGTCATCAAACACACACACACACACACACACACACACACACACACACACACACTTGTTGTCTCATCACGGAACATGGCAGAACATACACTTTGTATGTCTGATTCTTGAATGGAAACTGATTATTGTGCTTCCTGGGTACCAGTGTTTCACCCACTTGTGAACTATTTGGCGACTGGACATGCGCAGATGGACTTTGAAAGGTTTGTGGCAGACACACAAAGTTTGTAATTCATACGGAAGACGGTATGAGAAGGAAATATGAAAAATAGCAGAAGTTCTATTCAAACACTAACATGCTGGTTATCTATTGTGTTAAACCACAGAGCTGAGACTGGCAGTTGGTTTTGATATGAGGTTTTTTGAGTGGTACTGGGAATTGAACCCAGGGAATTGTACGTGCTAGGCAAGTGTTCTACTACTTAGCAGTATTACCAGCCATTTGAGCTTTGTTTTTAAGTCTAAAATGTAGTGAATCTGATTTTGCAATAGCACACCAGCTTGCTTCCAAAAAATCTTGCACTGATGACAATTAGAAAAGCCAGGGAAAAGCTTTTTCTGCCTTTTAAAAGAATACCAGTAACCACTAAAAGAATTGTCCAAGAATGTGTAACAAATTTGTACAACAGGAAAAACAAAATGTGATAGATGAGTGAGAACAAAGCAGAGAACAGATTTAAAAATATAACATCAAAAATATGGAATACAGAGCCTGTCTGCAGACCTTCTCCGCTCTCTCTGTTCCCCCAGATCCAATCCCTAGGGCTCACTCCTTGCCCTGCAACAGAACATCAGCTGCGGCCTCCCTTTCCCCTGCCCACTTTTCCTATGGATCCCACAGACCATTCTCGTGGCTTCCTTCCCTGTCTCACTGCTCCATCTCAGGCCCTAACTCAAGCAGATGCCCCCTGCTCAACTGCAGGGCAAGCCTGCGGGAAAACCAGGTGGGCTGCCCAGACCTTCTCCATTTCTCTGTTCCCCAGACCCAATCCCTCAGGCTCCTCCCTAGCTCTGCAACAGATCACCAGGTGCAGGCTGTTTCTGCTGCTGCTGCCCATGTCTCTTGTGGATCCCAGCCAGGCACAGGTCCCTTCCCACTTCCTTCCCCCAACTCATTGCTTAATTCCAGCCTCCAACACCAGCAGGCATTCCCCATGAACACACCAGCTGAGCAGGACAGGAAAACAGGCAACACATAGCCATCACACACTCTGAAAATCCAGAGAGGAAACAGAAACCCAGGAGCAAAATACTCACCCAACAAAGAAAAACCCAGAAACCAGCATCCTAGACCTATCATCACCCCAAACCCAGATGCCTAGATGCCAGCACAAGAACACAGTAACAGCCAGTACAGCATGTCTTCATATACTATAGAGCCCAGCTATACTACTACAGCAGGCCCTGAATTCTCCAACTTATATGAAACACAGAAAAAGACCTTAAAACCAACTATATGAAGATGATAGAAGTCCTTATGGAGGAAATTCATATATCCCTTACAGAAAGCCAGGAAAACACAAACACACACAAACACTCCCCACCACTTCCAAAATAACAGAAATCAATAATCATTGGTCAGTGATATCTTTTAATATCAATGGTCTCAAATCCCCAATAAAAAGACACAGACTAACAGAATAGAACCACAGGAGGTATTACCATCCCTGATTTCAAATTGTAACATGGAGCTATAGTAATAAAAAAAAAAACACACGATATTGGAATAAAAACAGACATGATGATCACTGGGATCAATGATGATCTTACCAGTCTCTCCTACCTATTAACATCTCAACTTCTTCCTCAAAGTAGTTTGGGAAAATGTTGAAGGCCTCAGGAATGTAACAGTTTCCAAATGTGAGAAAGGACTTGATTAAAATATTCGTATAAGAAGATAGCAAAACATCAGAAAAATGTAAGAGCATACTAAAGTTTGGAAGCTACAAAAAATGCTATATAAGAAACATGAGCAAGGGATTTAAAAATAACAATTAACTTACGTAGTGGGATCAACTGCAGAGTGGAACTGACAAGAACCACATCAGAGAACTTAGATTCACAGAATTTACAAACTTGAATTAGTGGGAAACAGTCTAAAAACTCAGCAGTGGCCCAGGAACTGCTACTACAATGATAACCTAAAACTCATACAATCAGAGTTCCAGAGGAGACAATGTGGGCCTAAAAGAGACATTCAAGGAAACAGTATCTGGAAACTTCCCAAATTTGAGAAGGACAGAAATCTACAGATTCAAGAAGCTGAGCCAACCCCAAGCTGGAGAAATCTACAGAAATATAAGGCATGCCAAAGATGCATTTTGAAAAACTGAAAACAAAGGAAAAAATTGAAAAGCAGTCAGAGAGCAAGAACACATCATCTGCGATGGTGAAGGTAATTCTCACGTGGATTTCTCAGGAGAAACCACGAGGGGCAGAAAGGCCTTTCAACTTTAGATGGAAAAACAGAAGCATTTAACAGACACCAAACACTCCCGTTTACGGTTCCAAAGTTTTGTTTTAAACAAATCGTTGTGACTAAAGATTAGAGATTTTTCTACTTTCAGGTCTGTTGGGTTCCATTCCAGCTATAAGGACGTGCTTTTAAAACTAAAAGGGCAGAGAAGGATGGGTGGGTTCAAATGGCAGACTAAGTTCTCCCACTGGTTAGCATACAGGACAGAGAGCAGACAATCAGTAATAACCTGAAAGGGATGAAATGAATTAGTGAGTCATGAAAGAAGTGTCTCAACCTGTACTCTGAGCTGCGAGGGGAGGGGAAAAAACCCGCCAAAGGTGAAAGTTTGCAACTTGGGCAGGAAGAGTTAATGAAAAGCAGAGTGGACCTGAGATGCGTGGGCAGCCTCAGAGCAGACTCTGACTCATTTCTAGCGGGCTGGCTAACAAGGCTCAGGTTCATCCTTTCTCAGGGAACCTCTGGCGACCTTGCCGCAGGTGGGATGCTCGCAGTACCAAAGGGTTCCCCGCTGCCCAGCTCAGCGGCTCTGCACCCGGGGTGATGGCAGCTCCGTTATCCTGGCACCGCCCCGCGCAGCACGCCTCCCCTTCCTCAGGCAAAACCACCCACAGTGCGGTCCGCGGCAGCTCACCTGTCCACCTGCAAGGTGTATGGGGTTGCACACAGAAGTCCTGGCAAAGCTTCACTAGAACCGGAAGTCCCTCCCAACCATGACGTCACAACACCGCGCCGCGCCCATTTAGGAAGTCGGTCCCCCTTGAATACTTTGCGAGTGTGAGACTTTTGATGGCAGCTTGGTAGGTATGCGGTCCCTAGCCTGCGAGATCGCGGGGAGCACATAGAGAGTTTCCCTTATTTCATCCTAATTTTACACGCTTTTCTGTTCTTCGTGGGTTTTGATTATTTCGTTTTTCCTCTCCTCCCACGTCCTTGCATTTGTTCTCTGCATCTGCCTCCCCCTTCCCCATTTCCTTTCTTCCATCACCAGTTGCTTTTCTTCCCTTCGTCATGAACACAGGAAAGTTGACTCGCAGTTAACTCAGCTTTAGTATTCCGCGTCACATACTCTGCACTGTGGGACAATGCGACTGCCCCAGAGGTACATTCAGCTGACTGCAAACGCCAAGATCGAATCCTCGGCCCTTGGTACATTGTAGGCGATCAGTGTGTTTCTGTCCTAAAAAGTACTGTAGCGGATATGGCATTCTTATATGAAAAAGCAGCAGCATGGAACTTAGAAAACTCACAGCAATTGTCACCCACACATAGAAACGAAGCTTGGCTCTTGTATTCAGCACCTCAGTGATGGTGCGACCAGCCAGCCAGCTGTGGAATGTAGACCGCTAGACTTCATTACCCTTCTTTGTCAGTTCTACTTTCCGTATCCAATAGGTAACATTTAATGACTATAGAAAAAGCCATTCACTGTGCTAAGAGTTTTTCATGAACTAATTTTAAATCCTCATGGCAGTTCAGTGAGGTCAGCATTAAAAGTGATCCTTGAAGTCTGGAGACATAAATGCATAGAATAAGTGATTATGTTACAGTGACATTATGTGATATGTTCAAGGTGGCGTCCCTCATGCACAGTTTTATGTATGTAAATTTCCCACCACTAATGCTATAAAACTATATTTATATGATGCCACAATTGACCTACCTCTCGAACAACAGTATACATCCCAATGTCAAAGCAAAATGGAAGTGGAATCTTAAAAACAACTGGAAGCCAAGGTACAGGACTCTGTCCATCTCCTGACTTTAAATCTCTCTAGGTATCTGTTCCATCCTTCTTTCATCCACAGGCTGTGTGACAGAATGCATTAACACAGTAATGTAACATCTCTTTTAATTCTTGCACATGCGTCACGCGTCTGTAATGCATTACCTCAGGTGATTTATGTTTCTGATGTCACTGAACCTGTGCCAGAAATAACTAAAGGTTCAGTCTTTAAAGTAACAACAATCTTTCCAGACCTTATAGATACTTAGGGTTATTTCCTTTCACCCCACAGTGTAAAATGAGGTGTGGAGAAACTAAGAAACTTCTCAAAGTCAGTTGGGAGAGCTAGGCTCAGGTTGCTGGCAGCAACTTCTCAACTGTTCCTCATGTCTTTGCTGGACCTTCTGCTTTGGGGATATACATGCTTTCACTAATTAAGTTTTCATATTTTTGCACACAATGTTCCCTTTGCTACATGACAGACTATAACTGATGTGATTCATTTAAGTAGCTGAGTGTTCTCTGAAGCCTGCAGAATTCATTTGGCATGTGTCAGGTAATCTGTAATTGTGGAGCTATTATGTATTGAGGTTTGGAAATAAAATACTCCTTCCTCCCCCATAACCAAGTGTTGAAAACTTGGTTTTGTCATGCAGGATTGTTCAGAGGAGGAGCATCTGAGAGGTGATTTGACCATTGATAATGTCATGTCTGAATGGGCTGTTAGAAATTGAGGGCTGGTTGAGGGAGGCAGAACATTGAAGGACAGTGCCTTTGATGGGTATCTTCTCTTATCTCTGTGTCCTTCCTGCACAGCTTTGCAATCCCACACACTCCCCACCATGATGCTGTTCCTCACCACAGGCAGAAATAGTGGACTGAAATCTCCCAATCTCTAACCCTTAATAAGTTTGTTGGTTTTTTTTTTTTTTTGAGGCAGGGTCTCTCTCTATAGCACTGGCTGTATAGGGACTCACTATGCACACCAAGCTGGCCCTGAACTCAGAGGTCTGCCTGCCTCTGCCTCTCACGTGCTGGGATTAAAGGCATGCACCACCATGTCCAGGAGAAATAAGTATTTCATTCTTTAAATTTATTTTGGATATTTTGGCACAGTGATTACAAGTGACTGACACAATGTTTGTACCTCTTTCTTTTTTGTATTCCTTTCTCTTTTTTAAAACATTACTTTCCACTCCCCATTAAAATGAGATTTCCCTGTAAATAGTCCTTTTACAATTTTAAGTAGTGTTAAAATCCATGTGCATTATTCTTTTATTTGAAGGTCTGGAAAATTTTGAAATAAAGCCACCCCTTTTGTATTATATTTATTAGTGCTTCTTAAATTTTAGTGTAAGAAAGAATCCCCTGGTTTGTTAACACACTTCATACCTCATAGAAATCTCTTAGATAGAAGCCAGGAACCACATGTTGTTTTGGGCAAACTACGCAATATTTAAATCATCAATTACAGATCAAATGCACTTTAGGTGTTGTTTTCCAATAATTATAGCATTTTTATTTACAAAAATAAACAATTAAACAACTAATTAAACAATTAAACAACCAACTAAGCAATTAAGTTTCCTAGCACTTTTTTTATGTATAGTACTGTGTAAAACATTTTCCTCTATAAAGAGGAACCAAACAAAATTTACCTAGGTATCTAGATTTGCTCCCTTTTCCACGGGTGGCACAGACTCTGCATTCTGTCATAGGAAATTTTTCTTTCCATTGACTGGAATACACATAGGTTCATGCTGCTTCATATCACCTGACAACCTTTTGGGTGGATCTGCAGTCACTTTCTTTTTTGTCCTGCTTGTCCAATTTGGACAGCATACTGTAAGCAGTCGAGGTAAGAGCACTTTCTTGTCTAGTGGCTAACTTTTGCCACAAAGAAAGTAAATTCCACATGGAGTTTCTTCAGTGCCCATCATCTTCTTTGAAGTAGATTGTTGCTGCCAGGAGCAGACATGTCTCATTGTCATTAAAAAAACCCTTATGTTATTAAAACATCTTAAATGCCATATTCTCTAGGTCTCTGAAGTGTTTGAAGACCACCTGTCTAAAATATATCTCTGTTTGACCTTGACCTCACCTGACTATAGGTTTTATTGTAATCATTGACTAACTACTAACCTGCATTTCTTCATTATCCTAAATAGTATGTAATAGTAACTTTCAAGGACTAGGAATTTACATTAAATTGTTAAATGAGCTGTATAAGTACAATACTTTGAACAAGAGTAGAGGCATTTGGACAACATATTCTAACTGAAATAACCTTAAATTTGCATCAATATACAAAAATTCATATCAATGTAAAATATTTAAAAGTAGTAGTTGCTTTTTTGGTTTAAAAGTACATTCAATAATACACCTTTTAATCCTATCATTTCTATAACATATATACAGTATAATAAAAATAACTTCAAATTTGTGTCAATATACAAAAATCCAAGCCAATGTAAAATGTTTAAAACTAGTAGTTGCTTTTTTGGTGTAAAAGTAAATTTAATAATCTACCCTTTTTAATTATTTTTATATTCCCTCTTTTTCTTTTTAGAACAAGATCCCTGAATCTAATCTCCTTTGTTTATCTTTTTCCTGACCACTACCCAAAACAACTTGTAACCAACTACCCTAAATGATTACAAATATCCATAACCCACTGAATGACCAAAAACCGCCTACCCCAACTCTTGGGAATATGGGCATCGTGTTCTTAAAATTACTTCCTGCTGTTTGGGGGCTATGGCATCTGTACGGAACCCTGAAAAAATTGAGGTGATTGCCAAGTCCTGGGAGAGCTAGCTAGCTGTATCATTTGTTGTCCTGTCATGGGAGAGTACAGGGCTTGTCTCAAGTCCTGGCTAGAGAAGGCCCTGAGGCTGGACCATCTCAGCTAGCCACCTTGAAATTGTGAGACTGGTTCTCCTTTAAATTCCTCTGTCTGGATCTCAATATCAATGTGATACATTTTAAAAGTTTTTCTAAGGTCTGTGTCTTGGCACTCATATCAACCAACTTTTTTAGTGATGAACCAAGAACTATTAAACCAATAATAAGAATTATCAAATGATAATTAACATTGTGACAATCCCCATTAAGTTGATCATCTCCTCATTTAATTGTTCCTTTTTTAAACCATGCATTGTGTAATCATACAGAGACCTAACTCCCTCCATAGTAGGAGTATTTCCCATTTTTTTTAACATGGGAAAAAGCTCTCCTCTCTTTTTAAAACTCTTCCCCCCTTTAAGAATTTCCAGTTGTCACACCAAATCTTCTGATGACGATGGTGAAGATGACGGTGAAGTGTGAGGCTGACTGCTGCTGTGCAGAACAGTAGAAGCCCAAGCTGGTCTCAAGGCAGCTACCGAGTGTGGTAGCAGCCTAAGGAGGGAGTCTAGGCAGAGCCCATAACCCACCGGGAGAGAAGAAGCCAAAGAGTCAGTTGCCTGCATGGGGGGATGTGGGAAAGTGGCTAACTCTTATGGTGTTTGGAGCTCAAGTACCCATGGAGTTTGCTGTAGAGAGGTTGGAACAGAAAAATCCCAAACTGGCCCAGAGGCTTGGGGGAAAAAAAGAAAGGAGCCCCTGCGTGCAGCTTTGGCATGTGCCATTGGCTACAAAGCCACAGGCAAATGGCTTTTGTTGTGAATTCAAGCCCCAAAAGTTGGGTGCCAGATGAAGTGTGATTCTAATTAGTCTTATTAAATAAAAGCCCAGAGTCAGATATTAGAGAGAAAGATGAAAGATCAGAAAAGCAGAGCAGCAGCCAAAGAGACTTCTTACATTTACGAAATCTCAGACCAATTGGGGCGGCTGAAATCCTGTCTCCACCTGTCTTATATTTCTGTCTGTACCTCCCTAGTGCTGAAATTAAAGGCGTGCACCACCACCACTCAACTCTGTCTCTCTTTTAGACTGGTTCAATCTCATATAGCCCAGGGTGGCCTTGAACTCCTGATCTTCCTGCTTCCTGCTCCCAAGTGCTGGGATTAAAGGTGGCCCTATGGTTAACTAGTGGCTAACTCCACCCTCTGGTCTCTAGGCAAGCTTTATTTGTCAGAACACAAACAAAATATCTCACAACAGATTATTTACAAGATAATAGTGCTACTACTGCATCATTGGAAATTGTGGTGGTTTGAAAGAAAATGGCCCCCAGGGGTTCAGAGGGAGTGGCACTATCAGGAGGTGTGACCTTTTTAGAGTAGGCGTGGCTTTGTTGGAGGAAGTGAGTCACTGGGCAGGCTGTGAGGTCTCAGAAACTCAAAC